AATCCAAAAATGGCATCCTTGTGAATGTGCCACAATATGGAGGGAGTGCGGGGGCTTTCAGCCAACAGGCCATGGGGGGTCACAGCCCTGGGGACAAATTTGCAGCTCCAACCTGGACAATTTTTTTCCGCTCTTGGACCACAAAATCTGAAAGATCAGTGCTGTAGTTTTTTGTCCTTTTCAATATTTAAAAAATTCTAAGATGACAAAAGGAATTCTCACGGCGAACTTTCGCATTTTTCTGCATTTCTCTTGCAATTGTTTCATCCCCCCCCTATTAGTGGGCCCAGAATGGCAACAAGAATTCTCGAAGCAAACTTTCCCATTGCTGGCAGCAAGAATTCTTGCAGCAAACTTTCCCATTGCTGGCAGCAAGAATTCTTGCAGCAAACTTGCACAATTGCAGGCAACAAGACTTCTCATGCCGAACTTTCGCTTTTTCTTTGCATTGTTTGTCCCACATTCGTACGCATATTTTTGCATCTTGTCTTGCAACATTTTTATTTTTATTTTTTTTAAGTATAGGTGTGCGAGGAATGAACCCACGGGGCCCTTATCAGACATACAGGTGTTCTGGGCTGCGGCCCCCAGCAAGCCCGTGCCCACCCTAAGTGAAGGCGGGCCTGAATATCCATGTGAGGCCTGTTTTCGACATTTTTCCATATGTGGGTACTCAGACAGTTGCACCACGCCAGTTGGTTACAGAGCAAGGTGAGCCTCCAGACTCTTTCCAGAAGCGAAGGGCTGAGCTGTACAGTTGAGCCCAGGGCTCAGGTGGTTGCGCCCTGGGGCACATGCTGTGTGAGGCCGACACATCACGGACTGGCTGCGGGCCAATGAGGAAGCATGCATTGTCGTCACACATGGGCCGCGAGCCAATAAGAATGCTGCAAACACTTGGAGGCTAGGTGGCTGCCAGGACGTGCCTAACTGCACAAGGCCCTGGCCAGTATCTGAAACTGGCCCTGGGCGCATAAATTTGGGGCCAGAGGCAAGCTACTGGGGCCCCCACACACCTGGCCAGGCCAGCCAGCAGTAGGCACACCTTCCATAAAGGAAAGTGTGTGCCACAGAGCTAGGACATTCTGGCCTGAGCAGGCATTGCGGCCACGCTGCTGCTTTGTCGTGTGATACTACCCTATGCAGGCAGGCTGGGGCGCACACAGGCACTGAGAGGCAAGAGGGCGCTGCAGTGGCAGCAGGCGCACGGCGTCCATAGCCGGGCCAAGCGTGTGGTAGCAGGTGTTGGCGATGGTGGTCTTCGAGTAGGAGGCGCATGCAGAGGGAAACCAAGGGGTGATGAGGGGAGAAGAGAGAACGTACCTGGTGTATGCTGGCGGTCGGCATTGGTGATGACGTCGCGTACATTGGTCTTCAACTTCGATGTGATCACAGTCGCATGAATGTAGATAGGATAGATAGGCTGAGCAGTGTAGGCTGGGCGCTGAGCGCCAGACAGTAGGAGCGACATTGGATACAGTGTTGGTGTGACCAGAGAGCGTCGGCATTGGCACTCGAGTCGATTGTATTGCTCTTATTTCGATGGTATCTTGGTGCATTGTGCTCTCTGCTTGGTACATGACTATCCGGACTACTTCGTGATTTTGCAATTTTTCGTGATTTTGCAATTTGGATTTCAGTCTATCGCTCTCACTCATATTCCTTGCACATGTATCTTCCCATATTTTAGGTGGAGACTCGTTGTTGTTGTTGTTGTTGTTGTTTTTAAGGCTAATTCTTTTTAGCCCAACCAATTCAATTACCTGTAGAATCTGGACAGGACGACCCTTTTTTTTTTTTTAATATGGCGTTGTATCTTCCCATGTTTTAGGGGGGACTCGTTGTTTTTTTCTTTTTTATCTCAAAGGCTAATTCTTTTAAGCCCAACCAATTCAATTACCTGTTGAATCTGGACAGGACGGCCTTTTCAGGCCTTTTTTTTTTGTCATTATATTATTATTACAGGGACCTTCTTGCAACATTTTTATTCCCGCTGCTACCTTTAGGTCCAACACATTTTCCCTTCCGACCGTCCATCCAGGTTTTTCATTCGTCGGCGGGACTGGCGGTTTACGCAAAACTCAGTTCCGTGCATTTTCTTTCAACCCTGAGGTCCATGGTCCCATGCAGGGCCCAACACATTTCCCATGCAAGTCCGACCTACCGGCAGGTCCAGGTCAACGTAAGTGCCATTTCATATCCATGCGAACCACAAGTAGGTTGAAGTCAAAGTCAAAGGTATCTATGATAGCAGACCATCATGCCACGTTCATATTAAAGTTTAAACATGTAGAGTAAATGTCAACTTACCCCGTCAGCACATCTCAATGAGACATGCATGCAATGCCACCCTTCCCACAAGCCAACGTCACATCCGCTGCAGACACGTATAAAAAACAAAACACGAAGTAAAAAATCAATAATACATAAAAGGAAAAGAAGTTTAAAGAACTGAGAAGCTAAGAACCAGTTTTTGACGGAGTTATTCCCCATAACCCGCTGAACTGAAGAGTAAGAGTATACTAGAACAGTAAGCGGTCACTCTGAGGGCATACTCACACTGGAACTTTCATGGACGTATATGACCTCTTTTTCCAACCCCGCCTGGATCCACCTGACCGGAATCACGTGCAGAGAGAAAGGGGAAAAAAAGGTCCCAGTGTGAGTATGCCCTGAGTTCCCCACAATAAGAAGCCATTCTTCACAAAGTTCGCAGTTTGCCGTGTTACAATCTTTCCTCGACAAAAAAAAAAAAAACTTAAGGTTGAATAGAGGCCTTGAGGACATCTTTGGAAAAACACTCACATGGCAGTTTCCCACGGCAGACGGGTGAGTGCTTGCTGTTTWTTTTTKACTTTTTTTTTGACTTTTTTTTCTTTTTTTCTTTTTTTCTTTTTTTTTCTTTTTTTTTTTTTGGGGGGGGGGGGARGGGGGTAATTGCAGAAATAGCATGTTTTCCAAGTTTCCGAGCGGAAATGTTGTCAGGGTCTGAAAGGTGTATTTTTGCAACGAAAGTGTGGGACTCCGCCCACAAATACTTTTACTGCGAAACTACCGGGGCCTGCAAAGCTGAAACGAAAGATGTACTTTTGCCACGAAACTTGGACCCCGCCACTACTTTTGCTGCTGTGAAACTACCGCAAGGTTCAGCGCAAACGCACTATTTTTGAAACTTGCCCTCTTTTTTTTTTCCCCCCCCTGGTTTAGTTTTGCTTTTTTTTACTGGTTGGTGTTTGTGCAATAACCCATGCCGTATGCCTCATGGAAGTCTGAGGGCCTTGCCAGGCCGCACTCAGACCCAGACACGCACATTTGTTTGTATGCGGGTACCCAGACAGCATCAGGACCAAAGGAGAATCTGCAACTGTATACAATCCAGGCGCTCGGCTGTGAGTCACTCTGTATGACTGTGGAAAGGAGACCTGAGACCCGACAGCCTCGTCAAGCACTACTTAAGGCTCGGTCTCCAGGATGTCAACATTCAGTCTTGCTATGCTGCCTTGACGCTGGCTGGACGCTAGCAGAGCGCTGGCTCGACACTGGCTGGACGCTGGCTTGACGCTGGCACTGTGGGCGGCGACGCAGGACTGTGGCAGAATGCTGGCGCTTTACTGTGCGCCAGGCATTGCTGATGTGGCGCATGCCACTTGTCTACATTGCTGATGTGGCGCATGCCACTTGTCTACATTGCTGATGTGGCGCATGCCACTTGTCTACATTGCTGATGTGGCACTGCCACCTGTCTACATTGTGTTGCTGATGTGGCACTGCCACCTGTATACATTGTGTTGCTGATGTGGCACTGCCACCTGTCTTCATTGATGATGTGGCGCATGCCACCTGTCTCTATAGCTGACGTGGCATTGGCCACGCTGTCTACATGAGGTGACTGGTTGCGACAAGGAGGGAGATCGGGATCTGTGGATGATTGGGATCTGGTACTCACCTGAGGATTGACGTCGTTACCGTATTCTGCTTTTGTCTTCATGGTCTCCACGAGATAAGACTGCCACGTGGCACTTGTGTGTGATCAGGACTTATCAGACTTGTTCCTCTGTATTGGTTGTTGACGTGGAGGCGAGGGGAAGCCTGGAGAAGGAGTGGGAAAGGATTGGGACTACTCTTGTGTGATCATTGATTATCTCTTCCGCCTTCTCCTCTGTCTATTCCCCCTCCACTCTCTTCGTCTATTGGTAACGAGATACTGTTTCAGATGTCACTTCGCGTTAACTGGAGACTTCGTGCAGATCTGGGTTCATTGACGTCTGATGAGTATCTGCCAGACTGGGTTCATTACATTTGTGAAAGCACTGACTCGACAATGTGTTTCCCCCTGGTCACTTGCCAAGGGGGAGGGGGAGCACAAACAACAAAAGATTTTCACAACACAACCGGTTATGTAAGCTCCGGTGTTCTGAAATCCATACCGAGATCAACACCCACTGCCAAACCTCCCAGCGACGGTAAGCGGTGGCCCCCTTTTGGGGCAAGGTCCCAATTGTCTAGATTTTGTGCTCCTGGCCAGTGAACCCTTTAATCTGCGGCTCGGAGCAAAAAAAAATCCAGGTACCCAGGCGAATAGAGTGCCCGGTCATTATAGCCGTATCTGGGGCAAATTTCAGTCCAGATGCAGCCATTATGACAGGGCGTACACCCATGAACCGTTGAAATACAGACCCGAGTTCCGAGTCCTGATGATGGCACTTGATGAGTAAAACCAAATATTTCTGAATTGCCTGGGCCAGTCAGCTCAATGATGATATCTCAAGGCCGTCGCCCTTTGAAAAAAAAAAGGAAAAGGAAAAGGAAAAAAAGAATCCAGCCAAGTGGAACCTCACTTCTGGAAGTTCGGATAGAGCTAGCTATCAGTCGCCACCGAGGATGGGGCTTGAACCTACCGTCTTCACCCGAATAAAACGCCCGAACATCATTATTGCTGCATCTGGTCGAAAATTTGCCCCAGATACATACAGCTATAATGACCGGGTGTTGTGTTCGCGTGAAGACAGTAGTCTGCAAGGATGACTTCGTCTTTTTCACGCCAAAAAAAAAAGACCTTTTGGACAACACCGAGAGGACACACCATGGTAACGGCCCGGACGTCCGGACCGGGTTCCAGACAGTCCGGTGTCCAGTGTCTGGTCCCCATGTCCGGATGGAGGCCCCTGGGGCAAAAATCGAAAAAAAAAAAGGGGCGGCCCAGGACGTTTATCGGGTCCTAGMCGCCCCTCGAAAAATAACTGGGTGATTTTTAAGTGTCCTTTCACCCCACCGGACATGGCCTAGAGGTCCAGACACAAGACACTGCAGGTTTTTGAGGTAGTGGGTTTCGCACAGGCCCGAGCAATTTCAAAGTGGCCGTTTCGACATGGTGCCCGCCGCTGCTGCCCGTTGCGGAGAGAGAGAGAGAGAGAGAGAGAGAGAGAGCACTGACAGTGTTGCCAGTCTGAAGACTCTGACGTTCTGAATTGAACTGCAAAGTTCGAACTTTTAAGTTATATATGAAGTTATGAACTTAAATTACTAAACCAAAGTTCAAAGTTCAAAGTTGATCATACTTTTTTTAAGTTAAAAAAAAAAAAAAAATCTCTGTTTCTTTAGCCTTGTGCCTGCTTTGCACTGTTTGCAACTCTGCATGTCTGCTAGTTAAATGTGCTAGTTGATTTGCTGCAAGACACGTGCTCTGCTGCCTGAACTACAGAGTGCAAAGGAGCTAAGTGCCTGCCAACACCCCCACCCAACCTCCCGGTGATGTCCGCATCACCGGACAGTCCGGACCGGTCCAGACACTGGTCCTGAAGACAGTCCGGAAGTGTCCGGTGTCCGGGTCCGGGGTTACCATGGGACACACCCCTCTACATTTCAATTCTGGTTTTTTGTTTTGTTTGTTTGTCCGTTGAACTTTGTTCTTTCAACATCAACGGCCTTTGATAATATAACTACCGTCTTCACCCAAAAAAAAAACGCCCGGTCATTACCGTTGCATCTGGTATGAAAGTTGCCCCCCAAATACAGTAATAATGACCAGGCGTTCTATTCGGGTGAAGACGATAGGCCCTGGAGAAGTGGTCAATCCATCCACTGAAAGCTACCTCTCTCCTGAACAATTGTCCAGATAAATTACGGCTAGGGATGGGGATGGGGTTGGAGGAACTAGGACTGGGGCTAAGGTCGGGGCTTGCATTGGGACTGCGACTGGGACTGCGATTTGGGACTAAGAGCGGGGGTCGGAGGAACTAGGATCAGAGCTAAGGTCGGGGCTAGCATTGGGACTGCGACTGGGACTGGGACTGGGACTGGGACTAAGAGTGGGACTGGGACTAAGAGTAGGACCTGGACAGGAATGGGGGCTGGGGTTGGAGGAACTAGAGGACTGGGGCTAAGGTCGGGGCTAGCATTGGGACTGCGACTGGGACTGCGATTGGGACTAAGAGTGGGGGTCGGAGGAACTAGGATCGGAGCTAAGGTTGGGGCTAGCATTGTGACTGCGACTGGGACTGGGACTAAGAGTGGGACCTGGACAGAAATGGGGGCTGGGGTTGGAGGAACTAGGACTGGCCTGGGAGTCTGGGACTGGCATTGGGACTGGGGTTGGGACTGGGGTTGGGACTGGGGTTGGGACTGGGGCTGGGATGGGCTGAGACTGGGGCTCGGACTCGGGCTGGGGCTAGGGCTAGGGCCCGGGCCCAGCTTGGGGTTGAGGTTGAGATTATCCCATTTCCCAAACAAAGGATTGTGCTCCACTGACTCATTTTGGGGAATTTCCCTTTCTTGAAGTAAGAGCAGTTCCCAAACAGAAATCGCAATAATCAGTGAGGCTCCACAGCCCACTGATCTCATGACTACCCCTTCTTCCCCCGAATACAACGTCCCGTCATTATAGCTGTATTTAGGGTATCTTTCAGTCTAAATACAGCTCTAATGACCGTCCGTTGTATTCGGGGAAGAAGGTATTACGAAAACGTTGCTCAAAGGGTTGCTACAAGCAACGTGGACCGAACTAGGAACCTGAATCTGGATAGGTTCTTAACGGAGATGCAGAAAAGCTGATCAATTACAGTTTTATGTATCTGTCCTCAAACGATTCTAGATTCGCGCGTCAAATCTAATCCTCTGTGCTAGTGGGACCTCGCCCCCGCGCAATCGTCCCAGGAGCACGACAGGACCCCATGGCCAAAGGTTGGTCACTGGCGCAACGGACCCCTAATGAAATTCTTGAAATTCTTGGCTGGAGAGGCCTACCGTCTATACCCGAATAGAACGCCCGGTCATTGTTGCCGTATCTGGACTGAAAGTTCCACCAAATACAGATATAATGACCAGGCGTTGTATTTGGGTGCAGACAGTAGGCAGGGCATTCTCAAAGTGAGAACAGTG